CACGTCAGCGTAAGAGCTTCTTTGCTAAGCAAAATCTCAACACGTCTTAAAAAAAACACGTAGCGCTTAAAGATGTTTGAAAAATATTATAACTATGATTTTTGCATGTTTATACGTTAGGTAGATGTGTAAATTTTTAAACTTTCCGTTGATATTTTGATTCTATATTTATAAGATTCTTGTTTTTTTGTGATAATGATAGTTTATTTAGAGAAATTATCTGTCCTACTTATAGTTTTACTTAAATATAAATAAAATTACTCTACTTGTCTTTTAACATTACGACCAAAATGAAAACCTTCTCTTAGCAGAGATTCCGATATTTTTTTTTTATATGGGATACATACATCGGCAAACGAATGCACGGATCACGTGAGGGTAAGCAATGGGACACCGCTTATAGATACTTGCAACAATAGAATTACAAGTATGTGACTAGTCTTTTGAAGATGGGCGATTTAGGAAGAGAGGAACACTCAAACCAAATCTCCTTTAATTTTTAAACGTTATGCTGGAACCAAATAACGCACAATAAAAATAAAAAAAAATGTTAAAAAACAAATCTATTAAGAAAATTCGTGTATTGCAAGCTTACAAAAATTAGTCGACTTAAACATCTAATATTATGGGGTATTAATTTTCTTCCTGAGTGCCTGGTGTAACGGCTTTAAGAGAGCGCCATCTTCGATTTTAAATCAGGGATTTATGTAGGTACATTTCATCGTTTTAAAGTAAATCTGAGATTATCAGATTAACTCAAATACTTTATTTCGACTTTATTCTGAATTATGGAGCTGATAAGGTATAAAATATCATTATCAAAATATCAAAATATAATTCTACTACAGGCAGCTCTAATAACATTCGACTTCTTTCGAAAAATAAGAATGAATCAGGATTGTGAATGTAATGAAAATGCTACATTACATAAAAAACGTCTTCAATTGATTCTCAACTTTAAAACAACACTATAAAGTGGAAATCTATCGTCTACGTTATATTTAGTAGTTTGATAAACTGTCTATTATTAGGAAAACAAAGCTATGTGCAATGTCATTACGCTCATTTGATAGCTTGCCAAATAACAGCTACCTTTGTCAACCAAATACCTGTTTCATAAAACATTGAGGCCATTCCCGGATTATGTTGCCCACCTAATTATCTTGAGTAGTGTAGCGTACACGATAACCCACTGAAATCTAGACTTAATTGTAATACTTAGTTAGCAGGATTAGGTGTTTTATGATGGACTAGCTACTCTCGCGCGGTTTCACTCGCTGCTCGGCTACATTTGAGCGTGGTGTTTTATAGCCTATAGCACTTGGGAACATTGTAGCTATCAATAAGTGAAAGAATTTTGGGAATCTGACCAGTGGTTCCAAAGATTACCCCAACATACAAACTTACATAGATACAAACTTTCAAAAACCTCTTTATAATATTAGTATAGATTTCTTGACGGTAACCAATCGGCGCCGTCCATAGACCTCTCGCAACACCGAGAGGGTTACGAGTGCTTTGTCGGCCTCATGTGGAATGTTACTAGTCAGAGATTTACGGATAGCGGATCTGACTGGATCTGGAACTTAACTTTCCCCCTAATTAGATTTCTCCTGTGTCGTGGATACGTTTACAAACATAAAATTTCACAAACACATCACACCCAAACACGGAGCAAATAATTATGGAACACACAATGAGTTTTTTAAAACAGCAGCCGGTTACTCAGCCATCGCTCCAACTGAATAGTCTAGTGCAGGTTGCGCAGTTTGTTTAAACATTCCTAAATTTAAGTACTACCATGTATAAACTGTCACTTGTGCAAAATAAAAATCGTGTAGAACATTATTTTAATACAATAAAACTTTAAATATTATCTATGCTTTGTCTTTCAATGGTACCTACAGGTTGAGCTAAACCTTTTAGACTAAACTCAATATCTGGTTCAATTTGTATCATGTTATCTATTTACTTTATTTATATACATATGAAGTAGGTATGTATAATAGTTTTATTTTCATGATTAATTAAAAATATTATACCCCAACAAATATGCGTAAAATGTGCTTAGGTAATGTATATTCATATCAAAAATACTACGTAGAAAATGTAATTTGAAATTTAAAACGTAGTCACACCCTATACTAATGACGTCACATGAGACCGAGCAAATTATAACCAACTATTCAAAGAACGGAGTAAAATATCAACTATGATAGTTATAAATGAGTTTTACCAGCAACAAATTATCAAAAACTAAGTTTTTTTCATACTTATTTTTGCTGGAACAGAATTAATGGTATCCATGTGGTATTAAATTGTTAGACGTGTAGTAAATTCAGACGGTAGATTCAGAGGAAGGTTTGTGTAACGTTTAAGTTTAACGTTGTAACGTGTAAGGTTGCGGTTTCGAAACCTGACCAATGTGACATTTCCAAGTTATACGACCTTTCTTATATTGTTTAGATACAAGTGATATTATCGTAAAGGAAAATAGTAAGAGGAAATCTAGATAATTTCTAATAAGTTTAAAATTGTGAACATTCTAAAGTTAAATATGCACCGTGGTGAATACTCTCATCTCTCAATCACCCAAAGGTCGACTGTTAGACAATGCCTAAGGCGTTAAGTTCACCTTTACATGTTTTTGTATAAAGTGTATAAATAAATAAAAAATAAATTAATGTTCAAATCTTCTCCGTTCGAGAACGGGCTTTTTCTCAGACTACTTTGGGGATTAGGTTGGTGAAGAAGGTGATTATCTTCAAACGGGTCAGCTAGACCATAGTGATACCACGGTCTCACAGAAAGCCGGCGTGGAACAACTATATTGTTTTGGCCAAATTCTTCCTCTACCCCTCTCTACCCAACCTCTAAAACGCCAAAAGGCCGGCAACCCAATTGCAACTCCTCTGTTGCTACGAGTATCGATAGGCGACGCCAATTGCTTACCATCAGGTAATCCAAGAGCACGTTTGCCGCCGTATCGCATAAAAAAAATATGATGACGAACTTAAGCTTGCCAAGCGTAAAAAATTATGAAAAGAAGAGTTCAACCTATAGACGACTGTCATTGGCTGTAAATGATATAACGAGAAAGATTTGGTGATAAAATTATCAAAACTGTGACTGACTGATGACTGTTCTTCTACCCCGATGCTGGGCCACGGCCACATAACTGCGGTTGCACCCGCTACCCCAGCACGTGTAAGTTTATAACTTAGTTAGTTTACTTATAGTTAGGTAGTGTTCAGAAACCGCATCACTATTGATTTCCAAATTGAAATACCTGATAACACTCACTACGGACACGATCAGAAGTCATACTTGTCGATAAAATTAGAACGAGGCTTCCGAATATTCCATCTCTCTTATCCCTTTGATATTCTATTTCAATTAGGTAGGTATACTTACGTGTATTACTTACGTGTATCTATTAATAATTAGAGGGTACATCCCTCTAATTATTAATAGATAGTCATTTCGCAGTAACTTCGATCTTATATTTATGTATGTGTCAAATTTCGGTAAGTACGTAATAGAGATAAATCCTGACCTTTCCCAGACGGCTGGTATCTAATTTTAGACACAGAGGTTACCCAGACGTGCTTGTTCGATTGCCCAGACAATAATTTCGTAAAACAAAAGCGCCTTTTTGCCTCTTGATTTCAATATTTTAGACATTTGAAGCTGTACTTAGGATTATTTGCATGACAATCTATATTTGAAATACGTACATTATTTAAGTTAATCATCATAGTACGATAATCACATTCGGTGTGGAAAAGTGCGGGTTAAGCGCGCGGGTCACCGCGGCCTCGGCCCAGAGCAGGAGAAGGAACAGCGGGGTTTTTAGTCAGTAAGAGTCTGACACTCCCTCCTGCCCGGCCCTGGGCGGGAGAAGTCATTTGATGATTTTCCCCTCACAAAAAAAAAACCCTGGGCTGGAGAAGTCATTTGATGATTTTCCCCTGACAAGAAAAGGTGTGGGAAAGTCACGGCCTCACAGAAAATCGGTTTAAAGCATCATTTGCATTGTGTTTCACCGTGTGAGCGAGGATACCTCCTCAATCGTCGAATCCTTAAATCTTCTTAATAATCTACAAGAGACCGACAACGCACTTGTAATAACTACTTTGGTATTATGAGTGACCATGGGCAGCGCTGATTGCTTACAGACCTATGACATAAAAAACACAATTAAGGGTAAATTTTCTTTGAAAATCTTACATGATGCAGATACCTAAAAGTCAAAATAAAGTTCGAACAAATCACGGTTTTTAAGAAAAGGAAACAACATTTAGTAGGAAACTTGAAAGAGAGGTACTAAAAAAATTCTACATAGAGAATCTTTTTGTCTGTTGGAAAATAACTCTGCATTAAAATTCCTGGAAAATTTTACATCACCGACATGTTTACAACAAAACTGTCAGATAAAATGGTGAAACGTATCGCTTGTGAGCGCGGTTGATACGTCATAGGTACGGGTGTCACAGCCAGGAACAGATATTGAAACGACATCCCCCATCCCCCACCTCTAATTGACATCCAGAAGCTTTCAGTACTAACGTGACCTAGTTGACTAATTACCTACATGACCTAAATGACATAGTGCCTCTGCGAGAATTATCACTTCTCAGGATAATTTGGGCCGAAAAAACCTATTCAACCGTGCTTTCAATGTTAAAGAGTCTTAAAAATAGGACATGAAAATGTTAGTAACATTTAATGCCAAAAATCAGCGCGAACTTGGAATTATATACCAAAAACAAACATTTCAAATTATAGTACAATCAATACTACCCTACAAACATACATACAAGGCTTTGTACCAGATATCGAATCTGTTTAATTTTGCCAGATGCTAGAATTTCGGACAAAGCAAAGTAGTATTTCACAGCATAATAATTTTTCGTAATATGACCTTTTGTACCCTTTCGATTCTTTAGCATTCGTGTCTGAACCATCAATTTTAATAACATCTACCCTTTGTCTTCCAGCCGAACCAAACCACATATGAAAGCGTGACAGTATTTTGTCCATCGGAGCGCGTAGAGCTGGTGGACCTTCTGACGACAGAGGACATTCTCCTTGACCTCACCCAGCCATTGTACCTGAACTTCACTCACGAAGCCATCGTAAACCGCTTCGAGAAGCACTATGAAGCGCACGACAAGATTACTGGCGATGTCTACGTCTGTGATAACCCACCTCAAGATGACAGTACTGAAGGGTATGACCCAAGAAATTTCTTACTTACAACGAACATTTTTAAATGAAGAATAATTTTGTGATCTGACTTTTCATTAACTTTGCAAGTGGTACATAATGTTGTGAACTGTTTCAGACTGCCACCGGACGTGGAGTTAGTTCGCTTGCAGCCCGAGCACATGAAGGCGGTTCACGACCTGTACCCGGCCAGCGACATAGAATGCCGCGAAGTTTTCGAGAAGCTGGTCGCCGAACTGCCAGCTTACGGCATTTTCGTCGAAGGAGAGTTAGCTGCTTGGATGGTCCAGTCGTACTACGGCGCTATGTTCTCCATGCAAACTAGGCCCGAATTCCGCAGGAAAGGCTACGGTATATACTTGGCCCGCCGTCTTACCAAAGAGGTAGCAGCCCGCGGCTACAAACCCTTCGTCGTCATTCGTCCGGAGAACGACGCGTCCCGGTCTCTGTACACGAAGCTCGGCTTCGAGAAACGTTTCCGAACGGTGCGCGCCGTTTTGCGTCCCCGCTAACGCGTTAAAGTTGATCACTAGCAGATTTTATTTTTTTAAGACTTTTGAATAAAATCAATTTAGCTTGCGATCTTTGATCGCCTAGAGAATTTTAGTAGTAGCTTTAAGATGGGGCGGCTAGTGCTCTCGGTCCGACCCGAGTCGATATGACAAGTGATAGCTCCGTTGTGGCGTTTGTACGAGCCAGCGACAGGTCATGTCAGCCCTCGTCTCTTCTGCCAATCAAAATACTTCAAGGATTCCTGATGATTGGTATAAATCCGGCTCCGAGTACAAGCACACTTAGACTTTCTATACATAGGGCCTCTGCGATAATTAATTTTCAGCCGTTAGCGTTTTTAATCTCCTAGTATCTACTTCTTGATAATGACAACGAATGGCTTTCTTGTTGGGCGTTACATACAAGTTTGCATACATTTTGATACGTATATAGCTGATGCCTCATCACGCTTCCAGTCAGATTCGAGAGCTGTAGCCGTTGCTGCGTTCTCTGGCGCTAGCCTAGTAACTGATCTCAAAATACTGATGTTCACTATACTTTGAAATCTGGCATTTAAAGATCTATAAGCCTCGTCACTGGTTAGGCTACGTAGAGGTTGAGACATATGACCATCAGTAAAAAAATTAAAACATTCCTTCTAGTATTAAGACAATAAGTTATTTATGTTACAGAATATGTACCTACTGTGTGACGCAGGGTTAAGGTATCTTTACGTGTGTCGGATATCCAAGATTTGTGAACCGGGTCATACTCATTTAGGCGAACGCTTCATTACCACTCGTTGATCGAGCGGAAACTATTCTGTCTCATGGTTTATAAAATTTTTGGGACCCGTTATGATCTGTGTGATAAAAAAATGTTAGAGTTTAACATTGGACTACTTGAAAATGTATAAAAGTACATGAGAAAGAAAGGTTGCCGACGTTGCACCCAGTTTGCACAATTCGACGAATTTTATCAAGCACCTTTTTAAAATGAACAAACGCGACGAATGATCAAAAAATTAAAAAAGTAAAAAAAAAAACGTTAAACATTTTAATTTCTTAACTATAAATCAACAGGTGGGACTGTTAAGCAATGGGAGGATATGACGATTACTTTTAATTTTAAGTTTAAAAATGTGATTTGCGAATCAAATAATCAAAAAACAATAAATGTAAAATGAACTCGTTGTCTAGATATTTTCATGAATACCTATAGAGGTAAAAAATAAACTGTGACTAGATTTCTCTTAGTTATTATCTATGATTAGTTTTTTTATAGCAAACAAGTTTTGTATATCAAGTACTTGGAGAAATCATTTAAAATTTGATACGAAAACGTAGATAGGTAGGTATTGTAATACGGGAATGTATTTTACGATTGTAATGACGTATCTAATTAAAAAAAATCGTTTGCTATCCTTATACTGATCCTGAGTATTAATAATTATTTAGAATCATTAAGTTAATCATCGATTTAATAAGTATGTAATTATATGGATATTATTGTGTGATATGATAATATTTATTGCTTTTTGAATATTGTTTTTTATTAATTTGGCCACTTTGTAGTATTTATTATGTCTTCCTAAGACATTATGATAGGTATGATGGACAACTCTTATGACAAAACGAGTGATGTGTAAAGTACTCGTTTTAAATAAATATAATAATTCTTTATACTTTATCTACTGGACAGAAGATGTAGTTTGCATTGTATCCGTTTATTTTCAAGTAGTTTTAAAACCGCTTTTCTGTAAACAATAAGATCGGCAAAGGCCTCTATTTTAAAATTAAGTATTGCTCAATAATTGGAGCTTCCGATTATTAAATTCAATAAATTGCCAAATTATTGATTGTGTATTGTTCTTGCATTTTATTATTGTAATTTATTAGTTGATTACTTACTTATGTAAATTGTGCTTGTCTTTTTTTGTGTATAGTTATTGAACTGGTCGATAGAATTGGATAAAGATTCGGTGTTATGTATTACCTACTATGTACTTGTACATTGTTTTGTCATTTCTACGATAATTTTCTTATAAACAGGTGGTGTGTAACATGTCAATTGTAATGTTCAACTGTTTATTTGAAAACTTAGGTACACTCATTCCATAGAATCATGCTAAAAGCTTACCTACTTACGTACAAGTAGGAACATGTCGAATAAGTAGATCGAGATTTCTTGAAATTATTAATTATAAGTAACATTTTCTCTGAACACTCCCTTAACTTACTTATGTACCTAATAAAATAAATAAATTATAAACTAAAAGGACAAGCTTTCCGTCCTATACTGACGTAACCGCAGTGTACTTCAATTGAACAGAAAATAATAAAGAATTTAGGATCCATTCTGTGTTGTTTACCGGTTTATCACTTAACTACCAACCTTCCAAAGGTATTGAGAAAACAATAAAAATAAACTTGAAATGTCCTGTTTTATTTAATGATGCCCTATCCTTTACTTTAAGTGGGTAGATAGGTGCTACCCTAACCAAAATTAGATATACGTTGACGGACTAAAAATCTAAGCCTTACCCTTAGTATGAGTTTTGACAGCAAAGGTTACGTCCTTTCGAAACATTGATTTTCATTCATTACTCAATCCCTGCGTAAAGCAAAGTATGTATAGGGGTGCTGACAAATAATCGGTGACCAATTATCACAAGGAAATAAATAAAACAATGTGATAGCAATTGTGCAACGCATACATCCAAAAAAAAAATCTGTTAGAAAATCTAGCGTAAAAAGACCCATTTGGCAATTTGGACAGACATTTGGCCGCTATCAGGCCTGGTGGTAAGCAATGATGTGACCTACGATGCCGACGCCTACTCATAAGCAACTTCATCACTAGGGCCTTAAAGGCATCCAGGGTATACCCTTCGGGGAACACAAAATCCCGTAAAGAATTCCACTCCTAAATTAACTAAAAATCGCGGGTTACTCACGTGTAAGTATTGAGAAAAGCTCTACTAGTTTCGAACCACAGAGGGGTTCTTCCTCATGAGCAGCGTGCGCGGACGCGGCGACGTCGCGCAGCCTACTCACCCCTCTGTGGTTCGAAACTAGTAGAGCTTTTCTCAATACTTACACTCACGTGAGTAACCCGCGATTTTTAGTTAATTTAGTATGTCTCACGATAGTTATTATAAAAACAATTCCACTCCTTACCAGTTTTAATTACAAAACTGAAGGCGAACCGCTTCGTGCGTGTGGGTGGGATATCCACCATGAAGCGATGACGTTTTGCCGATTGTGTCTGGTGGTCGGATAGAAGAAAGGACTAGAGGGAACCAGGACGTGTAGCTCTCTCGAACATTCAGTTCATGATAAATAACCGAAAAGCTTACTCGTCTTTGCGCCTGTGTCAAATGTCGTTGATAAGCCTCTTGGCACGCTTCTCAATATGTTCTTAACCAAACCGTCTCATAGATGAGAGCAGTACTACAGGGACCGAACTTACGCTCAGTAAGTAGTATAAGTTAAGCAGTTTTTCAGGCGCCTCACCCTCGCTAAGATTTCAGAGAGACAACTTCCTATCAGCTAATGTTGCCTTTGACTCTAAGTAACAGCCAACGTTAAGGGTGGGCGTCAGAGTTAAGTACGCTAAGAAACTCAAGATAGTCAGTCACCGGAACTGGCTCCTACATTCCGGAATGTAGGAGCCAGCGAAAATTAACTCCATTTAGCGGAAAGTAGACACGCCTGGGCTTTGCTAGCGTTAAACTTGACAAAGTTGGCGTCATACTAGTCGGACACTGCCTTCAAGGATGAGTTTAAGCGTTCAAACATAAATTCAAGTGATCGGTATATCGCTTGTCAGCCCGTCGGACACATACCTTTCAACAACTGTCATCTGCATATCCAAAAAGTCTGCAACTCAATATGCTGTGGAATATGGAAGTTAATATGCTGGAAGCTTGCTAATTAGGCTATTATTCCAGACCCTGTCCAAGGCCTTCTAAATGTTGGAGATACTAATCAGAAAACGTCAAGCGGCGACCTACCCTTACTTACGCAGATCCGCGCTTACGGTGGCTGGAGATCATCTCTCGATCTCAGGAGTGTCAGGCTGGGAGTCAGCTCAGTGCACAGGTTTTAAGAACTTTTAGAACCATTGCTGGAATTCATATGTATATTCAAACAAAATACCTAGTGTTACTTTTAACCTAATTGATAAAATAACTTTATGTCAAATATTTCTGGTATATGTAAAAAAAAATATATCACTTCATCCGTTTAGGCTCCAGGATGCCACAGACAGATAGACACGTCAAATTTATAACACCCCTCTTTTTCCGTCAGGGGTTAAAGTGTTCTGCAAAGTCAGGCTACGGATTAAATGTTTTTTCTTATTAGCACATAATTATACAAAATAGCACATATATATAAAGGCTAAGTTGACAATGAATTTTTATAAACCAACTCCAAACGAAGCCCACCTAGGCTACGGGATGTTTAAACGATAAGTGTGAGTAGCCAAAATATTACTGTATTTTTTATAAAATTTAGAGAGTAATAAGCATCGGGTGAATAATAATAATAATATTCATTATTTTGCCTAGTAAATATGAATAGTAAATTATATAAATTATCAATTAAGCTTTGTGTGTAATTTTGAGTGCTCAATTCGAAATCGTTAGTGGTAATTAACATTAAACTTCTAAATCGATTTTTATTTCTGGTAAAGTAATTTACGTTCCTTTACATTATGCGTTTTATAAATAATTACCAGATTTAAAAATACATTTAAAGGAATGATTCCTAAACGTCAAAGATATAAACTGTCATTGTCAAGTAATACATCATGGCGACGGTAGACAGCTACGAAAATGTTTGATTTGATTCATTAATCAATGACTGTCTTACGTTGCTAATTTGTTAGTTATTACTTGTTGTAGTGCTACAAATCTTGTTATGCGTACTGAACGTTGAATCTAATTTGTAAAGACTATGACGAGCTTGATAGATAAAATTGAACAATTAATAAAACGGGAAAAAACAACACCCGAACGTAAAAAAGATGACTCCAAAAAGTCATCCAGTGAAATTCTCTCGGAATTGTTTAGTGCTTTTAACGCGGATCCCCCGAAAATAGATGAAATTCCTTCTAAGAAATCAAAGAAGAGTAAGAAGAAGCATAAGAAGGAAAAGAAAAAACGCAGCCGGAGTTCTAGTAGCGACAGCTCGGACGATAGTGAGTACACACACAAACGGAAAAAGCGAAAAAAGAGTAAGTCCAAGAAACGTGCTAGAGAAAGCCGATCACCTTCATATCCGTACCCGCTGACACCAGTGCGAGTCAAACCAGAAAATGACCAGGTAACAATAAAACAGGAAAAAGAAATAAAGTTAGAAGATGTCAAGCCTAAGGAAGTTAAACTTGAAAAGGATGTTAAAAAGCATGTGGCAGTTAAGGTGGAAGATGAATCTATTTCATTGTCACCCCCACATCCCATGCCTATGTCGATAGACTCCAAAAAACCTGTAGACTTGCGGGAAAAACTGGATGAAAAGAAGGTTGAGGTTTGTAATGCAGACAATGATAAATCAAAAGGAAAAATTCAAATAAAGAATCTTAAATTTAGTGCAGTATATGAGGAGACAGTGAAGAAAGCAGAAGAAGAGGCTAGAAAGAAAGCAGAAAAGTATGAAGAAGGTGAATATACCGATTCATCCAGCAGCACTGAGAAGGAAATTGTATGTAACTCACAGTTCCCAAAAACATCTGATCCTGGAGGTATACTTAAGAAACAAGCTGAGGAAGAATCATCAAAAATGTAAGTTACATTTCGTCTAACTAAAAATGTCATAGAAATCAAGTAGGCATTAATTTATAGTCACTTATTGACCTTCAATGCAACACATTTTAATTTTATTATACTAATTAGGTATTGTCTTCACTGACTTGTGGATTATATATATTAGTTTCATGCTATTCAATGTTGTAATTACATACATAATTTTATTATTGTGATATTAACATCTTCTCAGACAATTATTTATTTACTTTTTTTTAATTAATAGAGAAATAAATGGAGATTCAAAGTCTGCAGCAAAGAAAAGTAAAAAGTCTGAAAGCTCATCAAAATCATCAAGGAGAGATCGAAGCAAAACTCCTAAAAGGTATGTTTGTAACTTGAAACTTTTTCCATTAAGTTAGAATTCAAAATTGCATGACAAAACATAAGTAATTTGAATAGTATTTATTAGAACTGCTTCATTAAAAGGATATCTACAAGAGGTCACTTATACGATAAATCCACCCATTGTACAATCAAATTTTTGTAAGATTTTTTATGTTTTTAACTATATAATATAATATAGCCTTTTATTCAGATCCTTAACTTACATTATGTTACATTTACATTTTATTACACAAAGATTTTTTTTTTTATTATTAAAGTTTGAAATTAGTCTATTATTTGTTGTTTGGTGATCTTTTGCAGATCTGTTTGCCAATCGGCAAAGGCCTCCTCCAACCTTTTCCATTCTGTCCTTACTTGAGCCACTCTGTTCCAAGTCACACCCGCTACCTCTTTGATGTCATTGTCCCATCGTTTTTGCGGCCTCCCTCTCTTCCTTTTCCCTTCCCTTGGTTGCCATACTGTTACTTTTTTACTCCATTTATCATGACCTCTTATCATGTGACCTGCCCATCTCCATTTGAGTCTTTTGATTTTCAGTGTAACATCTGTGGTTTTAGTTTTATTTCTAATTATATTGTTTTTTACTCTGTCTGACCTCTTGATACTCAGCATACTCCTCTCCATAGCGTGTTGGCAGGTTGTAAGCTGGCTTGTCAATTCTTGAGTTATAGTCCATGATTGGCAGCCATATGTAAGAACAGGTAGTATACAAGTATTGAACAGTTTTCTTTTGATAGTGATATGAAGTGTTTTGTCTTTCATAACTTCTTTTAAGCTCCAGTATCTTTTCCAACCGTTTGTAATTCTTCTTTTTACTTCCGCGCGCATAGGTTCCTTTTGTGTTATGACCTGACCAAGATAAATGTATTCATCAGAGTAGTTTATTTCTGAGTTTTCCAACGTTATTGGGGTCTTCTTTCCATTTGTCATCAGTCTTGTTTTTTCCGGGTTGAGTTTTAGTCCTACCTTTTCGCTTTCAACCGCAAGGTCTTCTATCATTCTATTGATTTCTTTAGATGTTCTGGCAAATAGGACTATGTCATCAGCGAACCTCAGATGTGTAAGCAACATACCGTCAACATTAATCCCCAAACTTTCCCAACTGAGTCGCCTGAAAACTGATTCAAGTACAGCGGAGAATAATTTAGGCGATAGGGGGTCTCCCTGTCTAACACCTTTTCCTATTTTAAATGCGCTGCCTTTCTTCTCTAACTGGACTCTAGCGGTGCTGTGACTGTATATGTTCTTTATAAGACGGATGTATTTATGTTCAATCCCTTGCTCCTTTAAAGCTTCCCAAATATTTTCATGTATCAAAGAATCGAAGGCCTTACTGTAGTCAATGAAAGCAATATAGTATGTAAGCTGATATTCGCTACACTTCTCTAGAATTTGTCGGACTACGTGAATGTGATCAATTACAGAGTAGCCCCTGCGAAATCCAGCCTGTTCAATAGGTTGGTGATAGTCCAGTGTGCCTTCGATTCGTTTTAAAATTATTTTTGCGAAAATTTTGTATATGTTGGACATAAGACTGATAGGGCGATAATTTCCTATTTCATGTTTGTCTCCCTTCTTATAAAGCAATATAATATTCGACTCTGTCCATTGCTGAGGAATAATTTCGGTGTTTAAGATGTTGTTGAAGATATCTGTGAGCGCAGGTATTAAAACATGTTTGCCTTGTTGTAAGATCTCGTTACTAATGCCATCTGGACCTGGTGTCTTGTCAACCTTTTGTGTGTCAATAGCTTTCTCGACTTCAGTTTTAAGAATACTCGGAACACTTGATGGTTCTGATAAATCGATTTTGTTTTTTGGTGTTTTGGCTTCGTATAATTTCTTATAATATGAAGTTGCTATTGTCAGTATATCAGTTCGGCGATGTTTCCAGTTTCCGCGATCATTTTTCATTTTAACTATCCAATCCATTGAATCCTTTATTTCCTTATATGCTTTCTTAACGCCACCCGATTTTATTATACATCTCTCTATTTTTTCCATTCTGTTATGTTTTCTATCTTTCCTTATGCTATCTCGTATTTCTTTATTTATCGTTGTTAACTTTTCCCTTCTATCTTGAGTGCCTTTAGCGCTAATTAAGTGATTTCTCTTCTCCAGCAGTTCTGTGGTGTTCTTTGAAAGCGAGTTTTTGTGTTCAGTTTTGGTATTTGCCGCAAGTTTTGTTTCAGTTTTTATGGTATTGTCAATCCAGTTGTATTTTCCTTGTGTCTCTAATGATTTTGTACTGGCTATGTAGTCAGAGAATTTGTTTTTTAGTGCATTGATTACTTGCTCCAACTTATAGTTCCCAAGTTTAATGATTCTTGTGTCTTTTCTTGGTCTTGCTGTTTTTGGTTGAGTTGTTATCAGTTCTGTTCTAATTAGTTTATGATTAGTATTAAAGTTCAATTTATTTATGACGGTGAAGTTACTAAAATTATTATTTTTATTTGTCATAATGAAATCAATTTGGTTTTTAGTTTTGCCATCCGGCGAGAACCAAGTCCACAAGTTTTTGTTCTTTTTCCTGTATATAGTATTTAAAATTGTTAGATTATTCCCTAATGCAAAGTTTATGATATGTTCCCCGTTCCTACTTCGGGTTTTGTTACTGTATGTGTATGGTCCTAGTATCTTTGTTTCTTCTGGACGCCTATCTCCGATTTGACCATTAAAGTCTCCCATTACTATCAGATTTTTCTGGCCATATTTTTGGATTGCATTGTTTAGGCTAAGGTAAAATGTGTTGAGTGTTTCCAGGTTTGATTGTTCAGTTGGCGAATAGATTTGTACAATGGACTAAGGATCTTTATAACCCGGCAGTTTCAAATTCATTATTGCAATACGTTCTGCGATACCAATAAATTCTTCCACATATTCCACTATGTTTCTTTTAATAATAAATCCAACCCCATAAAGTCCTGGGGTTTCGCCTATGTGATAAAACACATAATCCGTATATGATATTATTTTCTCACCCGTTCTTCTAACTTCGCTGAGGCCGATAATATCCCATTTAATGTGTTTTAGAGCATAAGTAAGTTCTTCGAGATTTTCGTCGTTTTTGAGGGTAAGCACATTGAGCGCAGCGATGTAAATTTTTTCTTGACGTGGGTTTCGATTTTTGTCCTTATTTTTGTTGTTACTGTTATCACAACTTGTTACAGAGTTTGGTTCTTTGCCCTCCACGAGGACCAGTCGGCTTGGGGGAGGTTGGTGTTTGTTTGTTACGTTGTTAACACTTTTTTCAGTTGGGTTGCTTTTCTCATTATAATATTTATTTATTTTGTTTTTGTTAGTTGGAGGGTGGTGGTCTTTATTCCCCACGGGGACCAGCCGGCTTGGGGAATGTGATTCGTTTTTGTTAGTTATAGTTATTGTATTCGTGTTTTTTCCTTTTTTCGGCTTTTGTAGATAGGTTTTGGATGATTGCTATTGTTTGTTGTTGTTGTTGTTTTCGGTTTGTGAGTTGTGTCTAGAGCGATTCGTATATTCAAAAGCATTGGTTTTATTTATTTTACTTGGAGCCTTTGGTAGTGGGCTATCATCGCTGCTAGACTGGGATGGTGACTTTGATGAATTTCGTTTCCTCTTTTCGTTTCCCTCAAATGTTACGTAATTGTTTAATCAAAAGTTTTTTTTTATTAAATTTTTATTTATTGTGCTTCTCACTTATTACATTAGTCCTAACTAGTATTAGTATTATAATTATTGAATATGTAACATCAAATTTATGTTAACCAATTTAAATGTTCATACAATTTGTTTTAACTGAACCAGAATATTTTATGGCATTTGTTAATGTGAATTGTTGCTTAGCCCGCACACTTAAGCAAGAATTACCAATGAAACAATAAATCATACATTGTCAGCACCACACATACACACCTTCCATCTCACACACACACACAGGGCTCCCAAATGAAATACTAAGTTATGATTTTTCATTAATAAATAACTTGTATTTTTATTTAACAGGTCTAGAAGTAAATCTAGGAGATCATCGTCAACATCCAGAAAGCGTCATCATCGTTCCAGTTCTAAGACGAGACGCAGCAGTAGGTCGCGGCATCGCTCCTCATCTCGGTCTCGAAGGAGGTCAAGGTCACGATCTCGGCGAAGGTCGAGGTCAAGGTCTCGACATAGGACCAGACGGTTATCACCTAGACATGGAAGAAGGAGATCTAGGTTTGTTAAATGTTAATTCATTTTTGTTTACTAAAAACAAATAATGATTGATATATTTATAGGTGTACATTATGTAATTGCTGTTCAGCAGCAGCTATAGCCATTTCTAATAATAACCTTATTTTATTTAAAAGCATTGGATTGCATCTCTTTTTATCATATTGATTTGACTTTACAAAAGAATCAAGAAACTATTCTACTGAAGAACTACTATGTACTAACTACTAACTCTAAGTTAGAAATTAAATATTTAATATGCTGCATTTGATAAATTATCCATGCTCGCTTCGCTTCGCCTATTTACGTGTGCCAAATGAAATCTTTATCAAAAGTAAATGCCGTTTATTTTTCATATTTAAATTTAGCCAAGACTTTGTTAAATAAAGTCACTTTTATACAGAAATATTACACAAGAATATAAATATATTTAATACTTAAAAATCATTTGAATTTTAACTAATATTACTTAAGTATAAATATTGCTATAGTCATGCTTATTTATTTTTTATATAATATGATTAATTTTTTAATTTTGTTTCTGTAACCGCTGCTGTAGATCACCGACTGGCGTTAAATTAGCAGATAGTGAAAAGAAACGGCTGCTAGAAGTTGCTAGAAGGAACGCTATAAATATGCTCAAGAATGGCGCGGTACCCGCCGGAGCCGCTGCCTTGCCGCCACATACTAGGAATCAAGTCATGGCTGCAATTCAATCGGGAGGTAAGTAGTTTTTTTATTATTATTGATTTATTCGTGTACGTAAACTTTTCTCTATTTTCTATCTACAATTAATTTAAAAAACGAATGATTAGAATCGTATCTGTAATATCACAACTGTTATTTCTTGAAATTAGAGTGAACAAAAGAAAACTGAGTATGTTGTATTTGTTCTTTTTAGTTTCTTTGTACTCTGCATATTTAACCAAGTGATGTGCTATAGGCTCCGATAATCGGTCTGTCTTAAAGTGAATTAAGAATTCCAAATTTCTATACCCAACATTAACAAACAATCCAAAATACTAATATTATTTTATCGATCCTTCTATTCATGGATTTTATTTAAATTCTTAACAGGTAAATCAGTAGATGAACTGACTGATTTCTGTAAACACTTATCCAAGAAAGAAGCGCTGGGTGAACTATCATCTGTCTCATCAAACGACGATGATATGAGTGAGAACGAAGATACGCTCGCATTCCATCATCCCTTCCTTGTAAAGGAGAAGGCTCCTATCGTTATGAATATAAGGGTGAGTTTTCTTAGTCCAAGTTTTAATCTACTTTTATATTTTATCTGGGTTAGTATGCTTCAAATGTCAAACATATTCCTTGAAACTGGAAAGAATTGAGGAATAAAACCACGTAATAATGCCTTAATGCTTTTGCTTTGTAAACAATCGAACCCAAACATATTATTCGATAATTGGGTAGAACAAGCAAATATTTTGTGACCTCATTTTTTACGTCAAAATAGCACACTAACTTACTTATTTCTTAACAATTCGTCAGAAAATATTTAAATTTAAATATATTTACAATTAAATATATAGTATCATTACAATTAACGAAACCGTGAATCATAATGAATAGTTAATTTACGAAAACAAGTAAGAAATTGCTTTTTCTGAACCACTGTGATAATAATTATGTCTGCCTTAATCTAGAACAAATATTCTTATAATTAAAACATTTCAAATTTATTTACAGGGAGGTGCTCCTCTACCAATCAAAACAAATCCTCTCCCTATAGCCAACAAGGAAGAGTTAAGGCTTCAGTTCCCCGTGTCTTCTGGCTCCCAGCACAGGGAGAAAGCATCGGAATGGGTGCCTGTCTCACCGCCTAAGAAGGATATGGTAATATTTTTATATCATACTAGCTGTCCCAGCAAACTTCGTACCTCGAATATATATATTTTTTCTTTAATTAAGTCATGTTCTCTGACATTTTAAACCTTCCCTGTATATCCAGTAACATTTCAAGACCACAATAAACCATGTCGGTCCAGCCTTTCTCGTGTTTTAGCGAGACTAACGAAAAGCAATTCATTTTTATATATAAGTTTAAAACACTATTTGAGTTAAGTAAAAGTATTTAGATTTAATTACTATTTGGTTAGTGTTGATTTAAATACGTCTTAAATTTTACTTGGTCTGTATTTTTAGATAAATGTTTATTGAGTTAATGTGGCATAATTTAATTATGATCTATGCTAGCTCTGAGGTTGTAGGTGTAAACCCAATAATGTATCTCTGACCTAGAGCAAGATAAGGAATGTGCTGGTTTTTAGCCAGTAAGAATCTGACATTCTCTCTCGCCCAACCAAAGGCAGGAGAAGTTAAGGATGATATTCCCCCTCAAAAAAAAACTTACGGGGCTCCAATGATAGGTTGAACATAGTTTGCTGAACTATTACAATATACATGTTTGTGTTTCTTACCAGTAATGGCTCGCCATCACTGCTTTAGTTTGTAATTACAATTTAATTCAAATAAAAAGAGTAAATGGAGTTTCTTGTTTGTTCTCTCGCTCGGCGCGCGAAACGCTACGCACCGTGCGCTCGGAGGTCTTAGTGTGAAAGCTAACGTTTTTGTATCCGCCAGATGGCATTAATGTTGCATGAGGTTTTATTAATTCAAATTCAATTATTTTATTTACAGCAAGTGGCTAAGCTCAACTCCACTAGTTCTAAGACAAAATCAATCACTGCCTCTACTCCTTCCACAACGAACACATGCACAGAAATTGCCAAGTAAGTATAATCTTTATTAATATTTACATACGACATCGATTTAATTGACTTCACATTGTCTATTAATACCTTTCTGTTTCAGAATATCTGAAAGATCTTTGAGTCCACCTGCTTATATGAAAAGTTTCACTTCTGGAAGTCGTAAGTATTATATTTTTATGAATATACGTCTATAGAACATTAGAACTAACTTACATTTTTTATAAACTTTTAAATTAAGAAAAACAAATATTAAAATTTAATGATTTTTGTTAATAATTTGTGCATTGAGGTACTTTGCAAAACGTAATGTATTGAAGAAATTATCAGTAAATAAACCTACAGTAAACAGACGTACATAAAATTTATAAACGTAACACGATAATTATTTAGGTTGTATAGCTTTCTCAAAACTATTTGACGATATCGAGCCGGGCATAGGACCCATGATGTCGTTGAATTGTAACGAGAGGGTCAACTGTACAAATGATGCAACTGAGATGCAATTTTGTAAATAATAATTATAAAAAAGGAATTTACTGTAATGTCAACTTTCAGAGCTGAACTCAGTGCCGGCGATACCGGCGCTACCAGCTCCGGGTCCACAAGCTTACCCCCCGGGCGTAGATGCACAGAAGATGGTTTGTATTATTCATAGAGGCATTATTCATAAACGCACCTTTATATTATGTATGCTTGTTTTTTAAACCATTTGTGAGAATATTGAGCTCAGACTTAACATGTTATCAGCCGGGATTATGTGTGCAAGCCCTATAATGTACCGCGGCCCCAGCCCCGGGTTGGAACAGGAGAAGAAACAGAAAGGTTTTAGTCAGTAAGAGTCTCACACTCCCTCGCTCACACAGGGCGAAAGAAGAAGTAGTCATTTGGTGATTTTACCCCCCTGAAGGAGCCTTTATATGTTTGAAAACAACAACCGACCACTGAAGAAAGCAACATCCTTTAAAATTGATAGCACATATTGCGTAGTTGCTGCGTAACTGACTGCTGTGTCGCTGGTGCGATTCCAGCACGAAGCAACTCCTCGTGTGAACCACATATTGTTCCGGGTCTAAGTTTGATGGATGTGTATGTAAACTCGTATGTTTGTGAACTCACCTACGATACAGGAGAAAGCACAGAAATAAATGATATTCCATTCTATTCTGTGTAATGTGGATTTGTATGTTTCTAAATGCACCCACGACACAGGAGAAAATCCTTGTGTGCGACAACGGTTTTTTAATAAAATACATAAAATTCTACCTCTCTTGAAGAGAAACCGTTTGTTTTACCATTTTCATATCGCCCAGTCTTTTTACCTTCGTTTCAGGTCCGGGCCAGAGGGATTATCAGACTCTTACTGACTAAAAACCTCCTAGTTTCTACTCCTGCTCCAAGACTGTACATTATTATGCTTGCACTCTCAACCCCAACATCATCTAAGCCTCTATGGTTTATTTCGACAGAACTGTCTCACAGTATTATCGCTTTAATTAAAATAAGAAAATTATAAAAGAATATTTATTAGAGTTTTTTTATTATATTATACAGCAAGACGTGGCGTTGATCGTGTCGCAGAAACTTTCATTAATTCGCAAGGAACAAGAAGAAAATGAACTCTTTACAACACATGGGGTGAGTTATTTTGTACTTTATACCCTTAAACATATGTCTTAAATTACAAATGTTCGTTGGAAACTCAATTATAATTTTCGCAGTTTGGTTGGTCGGCGGGTGAATCATCACTTGGTCAGTTCACCGGTTCAACAGGAGCACAGATATTAACACCGAGGGAACTAGCAAGTGGTACACAAGCGTGGGCCAAAAAGGTACAAATTAACATTTCCAATTTTAACATCATACTGTATAACGTGTTTTTAGTGAAATTGTTCTTTCATTTTTACCAAAAAATGTATTTTTATACATGGCGTTGCGTTTGGCGTTTTTCATTATTTGCATTGCGTAGATTATTCCCTTGCCTAAAGTAACAGCGACATCTGGAAGCGGCGTAAGTGGAATTTTGGAATGCGCAGTAACATCATACAGAAAAACGTTCTTGAATAAACATCTCATTGAAATTTGAATCTTAATGACAATTGAGATCTATTAACACTGGTACATGATTGAAGAACATTTTCCTGTATCCAGTATGTACAATAGTTTCACTGTTTAAGTAGGCTTGTAATTCAATAACAACCGAAAATACAATTCAACTTGACAAGACATCTGTGTTGATACTGATCCTTATTAATGGGTGCCTTTTTAAATAGTATGTTATTTTGTAGGTTATTTAAAATTTGTTTAAAAGTGTGATTATGAAAGAACAATACGCTTGTAGGGGACAAAAAAATAAAATATGCGTTAAAGTATGAAACGAAATCTATTTTTGTGCTCAACTGTCATTTTGTGTACTATGTATTGTGTTCAATCTATTTATCTATTAAACTTATACCAAATGCCACAAGAAATGTAATACTTTGCAAGAAAAGTGTAGTTATAACAAAAAATATTAACATGAATGAATAAACCCAATCCATTCCAACATTAAAGTTGTATTTGCTTTCACGCTTTTGTGCACTGTCTATGACACAAACTCGAATTGAGCAGTTCATTTATTTGACAACCCAACATCGGTATTTTTAGCTTAACTTATCCTGCCTAAAACTATCACTACCTTTTCTTTAATGTGGCTAAAACTAGCCTTGCCTATTTATAACGGCCAGCCTAATTTAGTATCGAACCTAAGTACTTGAAAAATTCCAGAAATTTCCAGCAAGCAAATCTTTGATTATATAAGTTATAAAAATCTGGTCATTAAATGATTGAACTCGATGCTATTTACCAATATTGACAGTCAGTGAGCCCCCATAGTTTCGTTCAGTACTTTAATGGTATGCCAATGACTTTTCTTTCAGCTGATTGCCTCGCCGGTCGGGATCCGCGGTCCCTGCGCGTTCGACCGTTCGGTCAGAACTTATAATACAAGTCGTATTATACTTTCTGACCTATTTCTATTAAAAACTGTGATGGTTGCAACAACTTGACCTTTTTTAAATGTTATCCTGTATCACTGTTTTGTCAATGAGCTATATTGTAGCACGGTTTTTTATGTCTATGTATTTTATATGAGCTAAAAGCTAATTGCTTGAGTAGTGGATTGAAAGAATGATCGCATATAAACGATTGGGCATTCTTTACCGAATCAATTTTTGTGATTGCCTATTTATCTTACACTTGCATCTCTACAGATTTTACTGATTTCTCATATTGTGCTATGGAATATTAATTGCACTATTATTATACTTTTTTAATGAATGAATTTATCAAAATCTGATCAGTAGTTTCGAATATTATACTCAACATTTAAACACATATATTTATCCTCTATGTAGTATTTCACAATAATATCTTACAAGAATTTATTGACGTACATCTACGCATTTATACGTAGTACTGGCTAGAAATAAATCTATTTTATATTTATTTTATTCATGTATAACAAATTGGCTACATAATGACACTTCAACATTTATGCAAATATATGACGACTCATGCTATTATCCTTTTTATATAATTATTGTGTATTTTGTCACTTGAATGTTGCTGCAACCATTACGCGACTCCGTAATTCCCTGTTCGTGTGACTGGGGAACTAATAGTTCGCTGGTCACACCGCACTACTCTTCTAACGTGATGGTAATTCTCATGCCACGCCCCCTTTGGCATGTCAATCATCATTACCAAAGATTGCGTACAGATATTCAGTTTTCCCCTTGGTTGTGACTGACTTATTTACTTGTTTATTTGTTTTGTTCCTGACCTATCTTTAAACAAATGTTGTTGGTCCAAAATGCTGTTTTGCACTTTTTGGTTGTTATTTTATTCGTTAAGTTTCATGAATGTTGGATTTATTTATTCAACTTTAGTTCTGTCCTTGACTGTGTAATATATAGAATTTATAGTCCAGGACTTTAGGCGGAAGTATAAAAACGTTTTCACTAACTACATTGGTCAGTCTTTAAATAATAATGAAAAGTCCATCCATTCTTTGAGCTATCCTAGAAGGGTGATAATAGCTGTCAGCCACTCCCAAACATTTGTGCAAAGCTATGTGCGAAGTTTTGCACAACTTAACATCAGTACATGTCAAACAAGCGATTCGCGTCTTTATAAATACTAAAAAGATACGTTTTCGTGAAAAAAATGCGATGCATTCATGCGTTGATGGCTCAAAGAAAAGTGGCCAAGATGGGGAATTCATGAATATTTGTTGCAGCTTTTAAGTGATAAGGAGATGCGTGCACTTCGATGTCTACGATGATAGGTGCTAACCTTACAATGTATTCAAAGAGGTAAGTATAATACGGGAGGGGGTAAAATAATACTCAGACAAAAATGAACTTTATATGTTGTGTACACTGAGCGCAAATTTGATATATCTACTACAAACAGATTGTTGAATATGTTGGGCTATGATGCGATTGGTATCGTTTTCTACAGGGTGTTATAAAAGAATACGTTTACATTTTTCTTCCACAGTAGTTTTAAACTGAATACCTACCTACTTAAAAAAAAACATTTGTTCTCATATGTAAACATATTTGTTTATACTCATGATTGTCAATGCATTATGTAATGTTGTAATATGTATGTAGGATCAACTGGTGCGGGCCGCGCCCGTTGAAGGAGGCATGGGCATGCACTTACTTCAGAAAATGGGCTGGACACCCGGCCAAGGGTTGGGTAAGGAGGGTACTGGGACACTTCAGCCATTACTTCTCGAAGTTAAACTAGATACAAGAGGTCTACAGGCCAAAGAAGAAGTCAGTACCTGTAGACGCAGTAGAGGTGTAAGTTTCCTTTATTTTTCTTAATGTAATTTAATATTTTCCCTTTGTATACCCCTAATTCACTTTTATAGTCATGTGCATTGTGTGTGAAGTAATATTTCATCAGATTATTTTATGATCATAAAAAGGCCAATTTCGTTCTAATCAATGGCTGTCGAAAAACGTTTTTCCTTTTTTTTAATGGTATTATATCGCGAGACATACTGAAAATAGCGACTTGCTCATGTGCATTAACTGAAAAGCTCAAATAGTTTCAAGTCACAACGGGACTCTTGTTCATGAGCGTGCACGTCGCGGCGACGATTGATTAGTAAATTTTGCTTTGTTTAGACATCTTAATTAACTTTTATTTAAGCGAATTTGAGACATTTTATCACATCAACTTCAAACACAATTATTTAACCCATATTACTATTTTAAATTTACCCTTATTGACTGATCGGATTTCGTTGTATCATAAAACTTACAATAAATAAATTCTTTTCCAGATGAAACCACAGCGGCCCGGTCGTCTCCGAGGTCCTGCGCCTCTAGTCGCTGGCGGCAAGCACCCAGTATCGTTGCTAGGAGAATATTGTTCCAAACAGAAATTAGGCCCCCCAGAGTACAATCTGTGTTTTGAATGCGGTCCCGACCACAAGAAGAACTTCCTGTTCAAGGTCTGCGTACGTTGATTTTTGTTATTTTCCATATATTATTATTATAAGTATTAAGTTTATTTTTAATTGGTTGTGTAAGTAAGGAGGTAAGTTTAAAACACATTTTTTTTATTATTGTTACTTTACCGGAGGCCATGTCCCTCCATCCCTTCCCAATCATTAAATGTCCGTAAGTCTTATCCCCAAAAGGCCGGCAACGCACTCATAATTCCTTTGGCGTTACGGGTGTCCATGGGCGGCGCCGATTGCTTCATCATCATCATCATGCAATGCCTTAAAAAAAGCTGTTTCCTGAAATGACTTGTGTCTTTAATTTGATTACCTATTTATCAAACTTGTTCTACTATAAATACATAACTCCTGATCTCTTGTTATAAACGGCTAACTGACCTAACAAAACAATATATTTAAAGCTGATATACTTTTGCTTAGGTTAAAGTGGCCGGGACGGAATATCAACCCGCAGTTGCCAGCGCTAACAAGAAGCAGGCGAAAGCCGACGCGGCTCAGCTTGCTCTACAAAAACTAGGCATAGTGACGTAACGCGACTTTGTATATTGTATACGACTGTTTATATTACATTAGTACATCTCTTGTCATACGATTTATTAGAATATACGATTTAGGAATATTTTGTTTGTTTTATTTATTATAGGTACCTTTACCCGTAACCGAATTCTATTGTAATTCAAATTACTTGGCTGATGTTCTGAAATGATTTCATGACACTGATACCTCGCTTCCCTTTAGTATCATAATATGATTTAAAAACAACCAATGTTTGTCAGTGGCCTCGCCAGCTGTACCTGGTTAAGAAGAAACCAACTCATGTCATCCCAGAAAATAATCCACAAAACAAATAGGTACCTACTCAATAATCTAACTCTCTATCAAATTACGTTATAAGTCGTGGTGGCCCGGAGGTTAAGGCGCCCGCTTCTCATGCATGAGGGTGCGGGTTCGAAACCTGGCAAGTACCAATGTGACTTTTTCCGAGTTATATGTACTTTCTATGATTATTTAGACACCACTGACATACGGTGAAGGTAAACATCGTGAGGAAACCTGGACTTATAATTTCTAATTATAAGTTTGAAATCACCAACCCGCATTGAGCAAGCGTGGTGATTAATGCTCTAACCTTCTCCGTGTGAGAAGAGGCCTTTGCTCAGCAGTGGGCACTTATAGGCTGATGATGATGATCAAATTACGTTAAAGAGTAATAAGCAAACATCCTTCTTTACTTACAAAATGACAAAGCACTGGACGGCAGTAAATTTTAGAATGTAATGAAATCAAGGAATGCCTCTGGTTTTTGCTTCTTGTAGGTAGCTACCTACCTATATAATGCTAAATACTTTACGTATGGAACGCGAAGGTCTCGTCTATACTTTGGGAGAGACCAATTGAAAATCAGGCGCAATACTGTCTGCGTTTGACTAAGATTCTATGAGTAATTAAAGTATAATTATATAAATTCGCATCTAGAATTTGGCGCCTGGACCGAGTGCTCGCTTCGCCGCATATGGGCGGACTAGCCCTGCCAACTCATAGACTACAATAAGTATATACTATACAAACTAAACAAAACACCACTAAGTATTGTATTGGGCAATAAGTACTGTAATGATAGTGTGTATGTTTAACAATAACTAACTAAATAAAACTTTGGGGATTTCAACAACAGATAAATAAACAAGTACCTAGTTAGGTACTGCACCACACACCACATTGAACTAACTACACAACTTGTGGAACAGACCTTATTTATATGTAGATATTCTTATTTGGTAGATACAGTTTATTTAATAATGAGCAACCACATGACGTGCACTTAGCAATACCCTGCGAACACGACTTTAGATAACAAATAACAATATCAAGTACCTACGCGGTGTTGTCACATACTGATAATATCCATAAAACCTCAAATAGCACTTGCACATTGAACCTTTGTCTAAAACAATTGAATTCAAGTTTGAGTATCAACAATTTTATTATTGCCACTTCTAAATGCAAGCCAGGTGTGATCTTTTAATACCTAAATTGCGATATTTATTATTACGGTTCTTGTATGCTAATGACCTAGATTACAATACGATTCACAATTCAGCATTTGAGTTTTGAATAAACATTTGTTTCGAAGTTCATCAGCTTGTGTTATCTATTATTATTAATTCGTGACAGGGCGGAAAACTCATGTTACCTGATGGTAAGCAATCAGCGCCACCCATGGACACCCGCAACAAAAGATGAGTTGAGTGCGTTCCCGGCCTTTTGGGGATTACGGTTCTCAGTGACTTCGGGATTAGAGATAGATGGGGGGGAAGGAATTGGGAATACGGTTATCTCACTCGGACGGAGAAACACAACCTCCGGTTTTCTGAGAGGCCGTGGTATCACTCCGCTTGAGCCGAGCCATTCGTACTGAAGCTTGGCTCACCTATATGTATTTGTATTTATCATTCAAACATTGAAATAAAACTAAATCAATTGCTAACTAAATGATTGTTTTGTACATGTTGTAACTATCTATTTGAGTAACAAATAAGAAAACAATAAATAATTCATAATAAGATTTATTTACGAACTATTGACAACATGACTACAACTATACAGGACATTTACTAAGACATTACAATTTTAATTTAACAACAAAGGGTATATTGTGCATAAGATCCAAAGAGTCCAGTATACTTTATGAGTTACAATAACACATTACAACTAATTTGAAACATTTTGAGTGCTGATCTAGTATGTGGAGTCAACTGAATTTAATTCTCTTCCTCCAGTACCTACAATTACTTCTAATAATGTAATAGATACTAGTCCTGCCTCCTTACGTTTCTTACTAAAATCACAGATCTGTTCCCTTTCTCCTCCAATCATATCATCGTTTTTCATTCACTGTTTTTCGCCAGATTGTTGTTTGATCCTGTAGTCTGATAAAGCTGCCTTAATTGCGTCTTCGGCAAGCACTAAAACAAGAATAATGTTTAAATAAATAACACATACACAATAGATAAAAAGTTGTGTGATTTTCTTTCATGAGTATGGATTATTTGGTAATAATCAAGTGGTGTCACATGGTGTAAATTTCCAATTCACTCTCAAAAAAAGCAATGTATTTGAATTGATGATCACAGTTCCTAATTTTAGAATGTTTACACTATTTGACCCATTAGTTATCTGTGGACCAAGTCAATTAGTCCTCATTTGTCGAAATAATGATGTAAACTAAAACTTTTATGTAGGTTTGTATAAAAAAACATGTTGACTACAGCTTATCAGTAACTGGTTGTTAGGTCAAGATAAAAATAACAAAATTTCGTAACTTATCTAGCATTACATCGGTGAAATATCAATACGTGCAAGATTGGGAATGATATGAATGAACATAACCTCATAAAATGTCAACAACTGCTGTTACTGATGATAGATATGAGAGATATTGGAAAACTGCCAAAAATTTAGGAAAAGCAACAACTCTCTATTAGGAATATGAAAAAAATGGTATTATTTGGTGACAAAGAACTTTGGACGTTGATAAATGTAAGTAACAACAAGTGAAGAAATGATCCATAGGAATTCACAAAAAAAAGGTTCAGACTTCAGAGTAAAGTTTTCATAAACTGTAGTTGCAAGTTGATACATCGCCAAAGTATTGCAAAATATTTGCAACACATATGTAATCAAGTCACTCAATCAATTGGTCAATCTCAATTACTTAAGTAAATAATATTTACTTAAGTGATCACACAGCTATTTTGGTTGTATTTTTTACGTAAGTTAATTTTCATTATGGCTTACTCAATATTCTGCTAGTATAAAGCATTTGCATATGATAAAAATGTTCAATTCAATAAATTAATTATTCACTTACTAGAGCAATGTAGCTTGACTGGTGGCAAAGACAGCTCCTTTGCAATATCTGTATTCTTCAGTTTCAAAGCTTCATCAACTGTCTTCCCCTTCACCCACTCCGTAGCCAATGAGCTGGAGGCAATAGCAGATCCACATCCAAAGGTCTTGAATTTAGCATCAATAATCTTTCCATTTTCATCTACTCTGATCTGTAACTTCATGACATCACCACATGCTGGAGCGCCAACCAATCCTGTGCCAACATTCTTGTCTTTTTTGTCCAAAGAACCAACATTACGAGGATTCTCATAGTGATCAATCACCTGAAACAAATTATGTAAACATTATGTTCAAGTGACGAATTCTATATGACCATGAAACATGATACGGTACTTAAATGTGAAAAATAAATTTCTTTTACGTCGCTTAAATTTTTAACTATCATTTGGGTAATTATTTACGCAGCTGATCAATTAACTGGCACGTTACGATTTCAAATTAAGTGCTTAAAGCAATTATAACCTAAGGATATCCGCCGCCAATTAGTGACTTTATACTTGCATTAGTAAACATAACAGACAATTAGATATGTAAATGAAATATAAATGATGAAATAGAAAAATTTACTAGTCTATTTTCGTTGCGGTTATATTTAGATTGAAAATCCATAATGAAAATATGAAAATATTACTTCCTAACAGTACCGGTCAAGGCTATTCATGAAATTACGTAGTTCACTAGAGAAATCGATAATCCTTGACATTGCATGGATGGATGATGGATGGAATGGAAGTACTTACATTGGCATGGTATGATGCGGTTTGGATAATGTTCGGGCTGCTAAAACTCTTCAGGCAAATGCATCTGCGTATATTTGTAACGAGAAAGGCCATCTTTATTCGATTATATTTCACAAAATTATTTAAACTCCAACTTCGCACGAAACGACTGCACTTTTCGTGAACTAGAAATTAAAATGGAAGGAAGGAATCCGCACTCCGCAGTTCTGCCAAGTGACAAGTGCCGAATAGAAATATTTGTCAAATGTCAATAATTTTTTTTTTTTTTTTGGAGTTTGTGGCCTGGATACTAAATGTCAATAAAATTGACAAATTACACAGATAATATTCTCTATCCTATGGTTGAAATGACTTTATACAGTAAAAATAAGGAAAACAAAAGTTTAATAGTACCTAGGTAGGTACCCAATAAGATAAATTTAAATGACAAAACCATATCCAATAAGAAAGTCAAAATTCATTTTTCTTATAGTAAAAGCATAATAAACTTTTTTTGTATTATAAAACATGAGGTATTGGAACGTGTCTAGCAAGATTGACTGACATAAGTAGAAGCGTTCGGAATCAAAACTTCTTCTAATGAAATAAATATAAATACAACTATTTTTGGACACACCTAGTTAGGCATTAGTAATAAACAATAATAATACTATTATTTACGTTTATTATTTATTTTTGGGTGGTTTGGAAAACACGTTACATAACTTTATTTTCAGACTCGTTACATAATGGTAAACAAATAATCTGTTAGTTTCTGAACTTGAGACTATTTAAGTAGCAACTTTTTGTAGTGAACATGACAATCGGTTTTAGAATTTCCAAGCTTGTAGCGCCCATAGTCGGGAACGTTATTTGTTTATCTCGAGCCCAATTTAGTGCTGTGTGAGTTGTTAATAATTTATTAATAGTTTCTAAAATATTGTAAATGTTATGCAACCAGTGATTTTCTCAGCCTGGCTGGCTGATGCAATTTGTACACAACACTAATCTGTCAAGTGATTTAGTTTTTTTTGTCGGAATTTGAACGCAGATCTTGTCAATCGAAATACTGTGTTGTTGTGGTAAGATTAGGTGAGCCGGCGATAATAGCAATATCAATTGATTTGTGTTTGGACATTTCAGAAAAATGAGTAATCCCGATTATAAAGCTGCGACATCGATCCATGAATTCACCGTGAAAAATATAAAGGGTGAAGATGTGAAATTGGATGTTTACAAAGGTCATGTCTGCATCATTGTGAATGTGGCCTCACAGTGCGGGCTGACTGCGAATAATTACAAGCAGTTGAATGAATTATACGAGAAATATGCTGAGGACAAAGGTAAGTTAAACTGATAAGAATAAAAACAAGTAATATTTACTTATTTTTATTGATTTGATAATTAAATGTTTACAATTTATTGCAATCTATAAATCATGACAGTATAAAATCTTCAATTCTTTAAAATGAAATATTTTTTATAAGGTCTGCGCATCCTTGCCTTCCCCTGCAATCAGTTTGCTGGCCAGGAGCCTGGTAATCCCGAGGATATTGTTTGCTTTGCTTCTGAAAGGAAAGTGAAGTTTGACCTGTTTGAAAAAATTGATGTCAATGGAGATAATGCCAGTCCCTTGTGGAAGTTCTTGAAGGTAAAGGTTGTATGTATAATTTTTTTAATATGCTGCACTGTGTGTGATGCAAACAGCATGCTTACAGCCAGGCTAAAAATATATGTAAGTGATAAAAACCTAATTTTTCAACCTAACTTTAACCTAGTAAATATTTTACCCTAACAAATAATTTATTTAATTAGACATGATAGTAACACAATAGGTGCTCAAATAGTGCAAACAGTGTTTGCTTGGAGCTTGATGACTTAACTTCATTTCAACTATTTTTTATTATCTATCCATATTTTTGTGTTATTTGATATTGAAAATCATACATGTATTTTAAATTACTGCAAAGCTTAGGCTGTTATTTAAATAAATAAAAAGCTATGTTAAGCATGACTTGACAAATTTTTATGTTTAAAAAAGTTAATTGTGTTAATATCCTTGACTAAGGTTTAAAAATTATGACATATGCAGTGACTCAAGTTTTAAGCCTCTAACATGACCTCTAAATAACAACAGTAGCGAAGTTCATACAAAATTCATTGTTCTTAACAAAAAATGGGGATTGAATTTCCTTTGGTGTGTACAATGGTAAATGCTAATTTTATTTGGACTTTTAAAATTCATATTAGACTGACTGTTCTTGTACAGCATATATTAAGCTTTAACGGCAAAGTTCATACATTTATTTATTTATTTCTTCTTTTCACTGAAGTTGTGACAACATTATGCACACATAAGATCTATCAGTGTAGGACCTACAAACTAAAAGTAAATATAAACAATCTTGGTACTGTATTTTTATTATAACTTTCGTGAGACATTCTAAATTAAGAATTATTTTTTCGGCTTACTCACGTAATAATTTGACGAGATACTCGACTAGTTTCAAGCCGTGCTAGAGGCCCATATTCATGAGCAGCATTCCGCGACACGCGACTCGGCGCCTGTCACGCTGCTACTGGCTACTCGAGTCTGCGCGCCCTCGGGCCTCTAGCATGGCTTGAAACTAGTCGAGTATCTCGTCAAGTTATTACGTGAGTAAGCCAAACACATAATAATTAATCTTGGTACTGTAGTCTTTTTACACTATACAAAGAATTCATATAAAATATATACAAAGATTATTTAAATTTTGCCAAATAGCTACAACAATTTAAGTAAATATCTGATGAAAAAGACATGCCAAGATTGTTTAAATTTTGTAATTAGCAATTACCTGAACTGATAGACCATAGCAGTTTTATTAAATCATCAAACGCAAGCTAATGCTTGCACACCTATTATTCTTCTCTTATGACTTGAATTACCACAATTGAAAGGTTGGGAGCCTGAAAAAACAGTTTGTATTGGGTACAGGATATCCAACATTTTTAAGTCGTTCTTGCGCATTCTTCTTCATAGGCATCTACACTTTGGAAGGAGCAAATAGCTTCACTAGAGGACAGACGGACAGATCGGCATGCAAAAATTTTAATTTCTTGAAATATTTTTTTCTTTTTTTGCAAAAGTAACTTATGTGGTCTATGTGAAATATATGAGTTTTACTTTTAAAATGGATATAGGTAAAGCGAAAATGTTCGCCAAAATTGTAACATTTACTTTTCCATAGTCTTGCTCGACTGACCAAAAAGTACATAACATGCGAAGTTAGACTTTGAGCCTAAAAAGCTACCATTTGTATGTAGTGTTTTTGTGTTACAAATACCTACTAATTTAAATCTAATCTTATCTTATATTATGTATTTTCTTCAAACATGATAGTAAAAAACTGATTTAATTTAAAATCTTAACAGATAAAAATTATGCATGCATTATTTTCTATTTTCAAAATATGTGTACAAAGGTTGAAATCAAAACAACAATATTACTTATGTGGTTCATGCTGAGTAACGATGGATAGTCAATTATTCAATAATCGTTTGTACGTGTTTAATTTGTGGTAGAAGACAGGTGTATTGAGGGCCAACCTTGTATAATCTATTTGCGATAGTTAGACCGATAGTGAAAATCAATAGGCGTGTTCTATTATTCATCGTACTGTTTCATACTGGAAACTGGAACTTTGAGCAATTAATGGTTTGTTTTATTGATTTTGATTTATTTGCGTTGTGTTTCGCCGTGCAAGGTCCAATATTTTTATTCCTCCATTTCCAATCCCGCAATCCTAAAATTGATAAGGCCGGCAACACACTTAAAAACTTTTGTCATTACGGGTGTTTAAGGGTCTCCGAATGCTTAACATCAGTTGATACATTGCTCGTTTCCGCTCTGCTCCAAAGAAAATAAAACACTACCTTTTAGCCTTTTAGTTAGGTACGCACTAAAAATACCTTAATAGTTCTATTTCTGTTCCAATCCTGGAATATTCATTAGTAGAGTTAGAATAGTTTTAAAATGAAGTGACTAGACATTCTAATGCTTATCTCTGTTTAGTCAATAATCCTATTGATTTCTTATCTTGAAGATAAAAATATGGTGTGCTTGAACCTAATATTTGAAAATACTATAACGCCACTATTATTTCTAACGATATCTGATTGGTAAAGTAAAAAATATTGTAGGTACTTTTCAAAGTCTCAGATTGAGCTCTGAAATTATAAACCGTGTGTGCTAATAGATGCGCTAATAGAACTACAGGGTTCCTATAGACTTAGCATAAGTAGGGCAACCCAAGGATAAAAAAATAAGTGGTATATTAAAAATAAAAAACACGAATAGTCTTCTTTTGACACTACACATAAATGCTGATTTGATTTATATTTTTTCAGCACAAGCAAGGAGGTACATTGGGCAATTTCGTCAAATGGAACTTCACCAAATTTATTGTGGACAAGGATGGGGTACCAGTTGAGCGTCATGGACCCAATGTGGACCCATTGGACTTGGTCAAATCCCTGGAGAAGTACTGGTGATCAGCATCATGGAAAAATGGCTCTGCATTTTTTTTTTACGTCATAGTAAGCTTTAGTCAAGTTGTAGATGGTTTTCAACAGTTTCTTCTTTCTCATCACAGCATTTAACTTTTACTGTTCTTTACTCTAAATGTTTATTATACAATTTTTCACGTTTCTTATAGGTGGCTATTCGTCGTAGCCATTTTCAAACAATTATGCACACAAAATATAATACTTATTAAGCATGTCACGGCATGTCGAAAGATTATTGTTAGTTGTTAAAAACTTATAAAAAATAATATATATTTATGTAAAAAAATCTGCAAACACATTGTGTGATATATTGAGTAGTTGTTAAGAACTATTGTTTATTTTTTTTGTGATAAAATATATGGACATAATAATTTTAAAGTGGTCTTTTTTGTTCCTATATTAGTAGTCAAGTAGGTAGTACGGATGAATATAACTTAGAGCGTACCTACATAGGCTATATAGCACATAGGTACGTAAATGTAACATACAGCAGCAGTTTCAGCGAATAGCAGTTAATAAAGTACCTAATTATAGCTTGTTTGTTCCCATTAGCAATCTAGTAGAAAGAACCGTCAATTAACAGAAACACGGTATAGATATGTACTTAAGTATCTCCGTCGCATTTTGTTGTGACGTACTACATGCATTTACCTACTGAGCTAAAAATGGCTAAAAAACACAGCCTTGTTTTATTTTATTTGACGGCACGGTTGGAGCTGTAACTAGGCAACTAGCTGCTCTGCAATGTGTCGCAGGTTCGATTCCCTCACCGAACAAGACTGGGTTCTCCACAATTTTTTACGGTCTATATGGCTTGTTTATGTCAATTGGTATGTTTGTAAACGTGTGATTAAAAAAAATTGTGTGCTACAGCTTAGTAAAAAACGAGTTCCAATATGGTTCCACTTATGGCCAACCAAATTTAAATTGTAAGCAAAGCATAATGATTTGATCGTCTATAAATAGGTATTTGAAAACGATTGAATTGCCTCCATGGTGCAGTGTCTCTGATTCGGGTCTTTATCTAAAGAATTGTTTTTATACTTTTTCCAAAATTTCTCAGCTATAGCACTAATATAATATTGAGCCTGGTATATGGCAATAGGCTTCGCCCTATTACATGGGACTTAACATAATTAGTGGGAAGTGAGTGACTGTATGTATGCACGGTATGTGTACCTTTTCCATAACTACTTATATAAAAAGGTACTTTGTGGTGTAGGTACCTATGTCGCAGAGGACACGGTAGAGCATACGATGGCGTTATGCCCAACTTGGGCTGATGCCGCCATGTCCTTAGGAAAGTGATCGGCGGTGGCGACCTCTCGCTCCTGGCCTAAGTCGAGACCATGGTGCGGAGCCACAGGAACTGGGAAGCCGTCTCCTCTTTCTGCCAAACAGTTATGCTCGCCGCAGTAGACAACATTCCGGGCGTCGCGGATCGAGAGATGATCTCCGGCCGCCGTTAGCGCAAGTCTGCGGACGGCGAGTGAGGGTAGCTCGTCGACTGACCAGAACCAGACCTCGGGGCTAGAGCAGGAGAAGGAACGGGGGTTTTTAGTCAGCAAGAGTACCTACTCCACCGAAAATAAAAAATAACACGCCGATTAAAAAAATCAATTACTACGTTTACGTAAGTAGGTAGGTACTTAGTTTGGCTCCAATTAATTTTCACCATAGACAATAAGTATTTAAGATATTAACCGTTTTAGTAGGTATTAGAAAAATATACAAATATCGTGTAAACATAATTAAGTAAAAACATCCATGTCAAAAATGTGAATATTAATAACAAGTTTTACACAATCAAAATAAATTAAATTTCTTAGTGTTATACCTATATAGAATTGGCAAAATTGTTACAATATGATGGTGACATGGTTATTTAACCATGGACCAAATTATTAATAACCCGTATTATACACGAGCCAAAACACTTCATGAATTTACGGTAAAGGACATAAAGGGTGACCTTGTTAAATTAGACAAATATAACGGAAATGTCTGCATATATGTTAACGTCGCCACCAATTCCCCTTTCACTGATATACACTATAAACAATTTAATGATTTAATGGATAAATTTGCAGATACTAAAGGTAGGTTTCTTATTAACCTAACCACAAATGCAAAGTGGGTATAACGCGGATCATAGTTGTGGGTTGTGGGCATAGTGTTTATATCTTTAAGAATTATAAGGCCTGATGTTTTGTAATGCATAGGTATATAAGGCTGCCATCTCTTAAACCTAGCCCCTAGGACTGTAGTCCGTAAGTTTCCGGAGGTTCCGACCTGTGAGTAGGTACCTACAACGTTGTACGTATGTGTTATCTGCGTTTTCAGATAAGTATTGGAACAGGTTTAAGTATGTAATTGTAACCGAGGATTATCACTTTACTTAAGTAAGTACTTATGTACTTATAAGCATAGGTACTTATGCACTTGAAGTTTTATTTAAACAAACTTCTTTAAATTAAGGACTTAGAATATTGGCCTTCCCATGTAATCAGTTCGGCATGGAGGAACCTGGTACACCGGAATCCATAAGCGCTCATGCTGAGGCGCATAACGTAAAATTTGATATATTCGCCAAAATAGATGTTAATGGAGAAACAGCTTGTGATGTATGGAAATTTATGAAGGTGTGTTTAACTATGTATATATTATTAGATAAAGTCACTGTATAATATGAGGTAGGGTTCACGAAGGCCTTTTATTACACAAAGAAAGAGATAGTTTTGTGTTTACCGCACCCTTTTAACATCCTCCATACCTACCTAATGCACACGCCAATGACATGTGGAGTAAAGATTTAGGCCGTAGAGTGGTGCAGCAGTGCAGGTTTTTTAAGTGGAAATTAATCCGTTGATTAAACAGCACTCCGTATGTCCTGCTCGCAGCCGGACCACGATATATCCACCATTTGTAATGATCTGGATGATTCTTTAAGGCATGCGTAGAAAAACGTAACGATCGGGCGGCAATTTCCCCATTTTTGCCGTCCGCAACCGCAACCCACGTTTACGGTGGCTGGTGAAGTGGTGATTCTCGCGCGATTGTCGTTGAAGTCGATGCCCTTAGTTCGTCTTGCGACGGCTGGGGCGTGCGAAGAATTGTTCTCTCTGCCTGTTTCTGTGCGAGCATAAAGATTTGAAAACGGCTTCCCAGTTTTGGCTTTGCACCTAGGCCGGGTGCGAGAAGTCTGCCATTACAGCAAGCGTGGCCCACAGTAGGGAGAGTTTTTGCTAGCACTCTGTATGAGATCGCACCGAAGCTCATTACGTAAACAAAGAATGAAGGTGGTCCGTTCACAATGTTGTATTGTCTTATGCCCGGTTCCTATATTTAACGAATCGTCGTTGTATACGCATTACGACCAAATGACATTACGAATAGTTATCTTGACCGTCTACTGACGGTTAAAATATTTATAGGAACACCACAGACACCATAGATCTCCATACAATTCGCTTACCGACATCCGTTAGTTGCAAACCGTCAGTAAGTTGCACGACGAGACGTTTGTTATAGGAACGGTTTTAGCTTACGAGTCGTATATAAAACTACTATTCGTAACTAAAACGGATCGTTTCTCAATTATAGGAACCGGGCATTAATGAATACCGGCCATGTACCAGATAAATTGGAATAAAGAAGCCTGCAATTTGTGTGAATTCTGTTTCACATTCTATTAACTTTTCAATCGTGGTAATCCCAGACACAACAGAATAACAATAGGTACTCAAACGCCAGCGTTCGCTTGGGGTGCGTGCGTTCGTGCAGCGGAATGTTGTTGAATTTAAAGATTTTAATTATGCAGATATTTAGTGTATGACGTCGTATAATTGTGTATGGTAAAAAAAAATTTGTGCACGCAACCATTGTGGAGAAATTCACCAAAAACTGATTCCGCTGGGCGAACGTTGTCCTGGCGGAACTTTTTTTAATGCATAGACTTTAGAAGAAAAGAGGTGTATCCAAAAATTAGTGTGTATTTGTGTGTAATTGTGTATGTATGAATAAAACTAGTGCATGCATAAACTTCGGAGAAATTCAAGTTTCCGCTACGCGAACGTTTGGCCATTAGCTAGTTTTCATATAAAGCGCTTACATAGAGAGCTGTAGATTTTTACATACGTTGTTTTGAATTTGTGTATATTTGTTTAAAAAACAGATTTAGAAAAAATCGTAGGGTTTAAAAGATAAAAATATAAACGTAAAATACGCTTATTAGGTCTTAGCTCTTAAAGTATTCACTTTAGGGTCTAGATTTTCACGTTTATACAAACCTTGTAAGTGTCTGCAACATGTTGCCAAGTATCAATGATGTTCCGTTAGTAATTAAATAGTTATAGGACAAATTTACCATGAATAGATCACTGTTTACAAAGCAGTCAAATATCACGACGTTCTAAATGAATTGCATGGTAAAATGTATGCCAATAATTAGTGTATTCATTCAACTATTCACAAGCAAAATTTCATGTCATTAAATTCAGTAATTAAAGAAAAACAATTATAATACTGACGAAGCATCGAAAACCTACATAACCCGACCAAGTTCGGATGGCTACAAAAAAGCGGCTGTTCAATATATTTAGGTAACATCCCAAAATTTACAGTATAATACCGGTATTGAATTGGTACAGGTGATAACACACTTGTTGTTTCGAAATAATTTATAGGTCATTTATTTTTGGACACCTACTTTTTTAAATGTATTTGACTATGACAGAAAGTAGGTACTATTACGTAGGTACTTTATTTAAGTATGCGCTTGAGATTTGAGATATAATCTAATTATATTTAAGACAAATAAAATTCATACAGCTAATTTCTATTGAAGATTTCACGGATCAGGATTCTAACTATAGACCCCTTAGGGAAATTAAATATTTACCACATGTAAGTACTTAAGTACTACTGTTTAGGTAAATATTTATCATATTGTAGCTTATTACACTATTTAACCAATAGAGGCATGCACGAGCGTGTGTACGATACTGTGTTTTATTTTTTCCTAACGCTTGTGTACGATAATGTACCATATTAATAAATGCTATATTGGAAAGTTAAGAACGTTTCTTAGATATATGGCACGGCCGCTTTTTTGTAGCCATCCGAACTTGGTCGGGTTATGTAGGTTTTCGATGCTTCGTCAGTATTATAATTGTTTTTCTTTAATTACTGAATTTAATGACATGAAATTTTGCATGTGAATAGTTGAATAAATACACTAATTATTGGCATACATTTTACCATGCAATTCATTTAGAACGTCGTGATATTTGACTGCTTTGTAAACAGTGATCTATTCATGGTAAATTTGTCCTATAACTATTTAATTACTAACGGAACATCATTGATACTTGGCAACATGTTGCAGACACTTACAAGGTTTGTATAAACGTGAAAATCTAGACCCTAAAGTGCATACTTTAAGAGCTAAGACCTAATAAGCGTATTTTACGTTTATATTTTTATCTTTTAAACCCTACGATTTTTTCTAAATCTGTTTTTTAAACAAATATACACAAATTCAAAACAACGTATGTAAAAATCTACAGCTCTCTATGTAAGCGCTTTATATGAAAACTAGCTAATGGCCAAACGTTCGCGTAGCGGAAACTTGAATTTCTCCGAAGTTTATGCATGCACTAGTTTTATTCATACATACACAATTATACACAAATACACACTAATTTTTGGATACACCTCTTTTCTTCTAAAGTCTATGCATTAAAAAAAGTTCCGCCAGGACAACGTTCGCCCAGCGGAATCAGTTTTTGGTGAATTTCTCCACAATGGTTGCGTGCACAAATTTTTTTTTACCATACACAGTTATACGACGTCATACACTAAATATCTGCATAATTAAAATCTTTAAATTCAACAACATTCCGCTGCACGAACGCACGCGCTTGGGGTTTGATGGATTAATGATTTTGTTGTGTTTTTAATTCCCTTTATAGAATGGAAGCGGCTGGCAGTTTTTGATTTCGAATACCCTACTACTCTTTGCCCAACACGGGTTGACCTGCTAAACCTAAACTAAACTAAATTTTAATAAGTTTTTGATAACGTGAATACCAATCAATATCTATAATAAAAATGAGAACATATATAACTTATGAATTTGTGTACTTACTTTACACTTTGTTTTAGGCACAAGTACCTGGCGGTGCCCATGGCAGAATGATAAAAAATAATTACACAAAATTTATTGTAACCAAACAGGGTGTGCCCATGGAGCGATATGGGCCAGAAGTGCAACCCATAGAGCTTGAAAAGGTTCTGTGTTCCTACTGGTGACGAAAGTGAATATAATAATTAAAATCACTTGACTCGTCATCTTATTTACTACCTGCCATTACGTAATTATTGAATTATTTCGTAAATATAAATACTTAAAAAACTATGGATATAAATTCTGAGAAGTTATCACGGCTATTAGCCTTGTTGTTAAAGAGAAAATATGAACGACGAGGAAGACAACTTTTTTTGCAGCGTCGTAATTCTCAAAGAGCGCTTTCCATTAACGGAGCATGTCTAAACCAGCTTTTGAAATCGACAAACCGACGACCATGTACAACTTTATTACCGCCAACTGAAATCGATACTTCTCGAAACATAAATCAACGTCGTAAGCGTAAACAGTCTCGTTTTTAGGACTTATATTCCGCATTTTAACAGCATAATATCTTAATAAAATAATAAATACTCAACTACGTTTAATTTCTTCATCATCATCATCATCATCATCATCATCATCATCAGCAGCCAGTATAGTGGTCTGTCTGTTGAGAAAAGCTATGCTAATGGTGATAGACGATTTTTAATATGCTTTTATTCGCTTTTTTTTCTATTGTGCGATCACAAACTGGAAAAAAATCATCTAAGTGGCAGAAAATAATAAATAATAATACAAATGTTTCATATTTTTATTGCCACACCTGGGCAGAATTCCGGACACCATGCTACAACTGAGAAAAGTTTCTCACTGGTCACTGTTCTCAGCTATGATTATATTGTCTATAGGTACCTTTTTTTTGTCAGGTAAAAATCATCAAATGACTTCTCCAGACTCTTACTGACTAAAAACCACCCCGTTCCTGCTCTGGGCCGAGGCCGCGGTGGTCTATTGGCGATGCAAAGATTCTAACCAGCGCCTCTAGTGTCAAAATTGTGAAGCTGTCTAAGAACGGCACTTTGAAAGTTTTCCTAACAATTTAACGTCAGGGAAAAATAAATTATAAATAAAAATCAGATTTAAATGGCATTTTTCTGTTTAAGGCCTGATTTTTCAATAGTCAGTTAAATGTTATCTGAGGAATAAAATTGTTGCTGTCACTGTCTTATACAATCATTCTGACGCGACTGCATCGTTATTATTTCACAGGTAACTTTTTTTCTTACCATTGTTTTACCTACATATACCTACATATCACTACTGAGTAAATCTGAGAAAGTTAATTGCTTTAAAGCTGATCTATCCTCTTCCCACATATGAAGAAACTTTATTTGAGTGTTTTTTCTAATGGTACTTTTTATCGGAGCTTATTTGAGGAATATTCTGAGACGGTACAACATAAGAAAACAACTTGTGCCTTGTAGAATCTGGAACAATCACCATAATCTCGTTATCTGACGAGAAACTCGCCTTAGTGTAAAATAAATGAATATCTAAAAAAACTAAACTAAACTAAAAAATAAAATAATTAAAACATAATTATACTTTCAGTTTGGAAAAAGTTTACCTAATGCTTGAAAATTATGAGAACAAACTCTCATTGATGGTGAAATTGGCTTGCGTATTTTAAAGCAGTCTTCCATTTTTTCTTCATATTTTTGTCTTTTGGGAATAAATGAAAGCTTATTCCCGTATCTCCGTAAGTACTACATTGAACAATGCATCAATATTTCGTATTTCTGCTTTTATTAGCAACAGGTTTCTGTTTATAATCGTGATCCATCTGAATAATCTAACATAACTTCAAGAAATAAAGTGTCATTCTTAGACAGTTTCTAAACCCCGCTAGAGGCGTGCGGATAATCTTTGCATCGCCAATAGGTACCTACCCTAACTACTGTACAATAATGAACCAACTCTGTGATTGTCTATGACTATGGCAAGGTAATAATATCTACAAGTATTTCAACTTCATAGAAACGGCCGAAACGCGAACTATACCTACGCGCCCGATGTCGGGACGCGCTCGGGACGCAGACAGACGCGGCTGTACCGCAGTGACGAACGGACGGTGTGTTGTCTTTTATTTAGAAATCAGCTCGAGTACATTATTTAATATGACGAATAGGAAATATTGTGCTGTTATTATGTTTGGTTGCATGAATTCGACAATAACGCATCCAGACATAAGTTTTTTTTAAATTACCTGGAAACTCTGAAAGGTAAGACTATAAAATAATTTTACTTACTAGTAGCCTAGGTAGGTACATAATGTGTGTCTTTATGGATCATTATTTCCAGTTATCTCACGAAAACAGATGTTTGAATTTATAAATAATATGAATAAAGTTATTGAGACGAGTGAAATAGGTAGTTATAGGCGGTTCTGGTTCAGAATGAATCATGATACGTTAGGTACCTACCTACTTACGCTTGTGTTAAAACGGTTCATGTATGTTTTGTTATTTTGTATAATTCAAAGTAGAGAGTGTGGTATTTTATTATTAATAATATTTGTTTATTATCTGCGTTTATGAATAATACTAGAAAATATTTAATAACAACAATAAAACAGCTAGACTCATGTAATATTTTGATGTTTGAGGGTTGTGATTTTAGAACATTCGTAGTCAGCTGTTCAGTTCGGCATTAGTGGCCAAAGAAATTTTGTTTGTTTATTTTTAAAGCACTTTATTTGTTTATATAAAAAAAGGATATTTACAATCACAAAACTAAATGGAAACAGAAAGTAGACAAAGGTAATTAAAATACTGGAGACGAGCAGCCCTAACGCATGTTTACGTACCGCGCGGCTGTAGGTATTTATTTCTTTCAAGCGGCCGAGTTAAAATACTGTATGATATTTATACTGTGACTATGGCTTGACCTATTTAGGGTTGTCAGTTGAACGTTATTTTTTTATCTCGTTCTATTTTCGTACATTAAAACAGTAAAGCAAGAGGAGCACTATTTTTAGCCAATCAGAGGCGACCTTTTTGAATTCATTCTAGCGTCGTCGTTCGTTGGCGCTTGGCTTCTCTTTCTGAGAGGTTTTGTGTTCATTCATCGTGTTTCTGTTTATGTTGCGTCTTGCGTACTTTCGTGGCGCTTTAGTAATTTTGAAAGAAATATTTGTAATTTAGCGTAGTGTGTATAAAGTTATTAACGGAAATAAACCGCAAAGATTACAAGGAGTCGTGTATAGATGAATACCGTATTGTGACAAGTAAATATCATCGCGTGTGGTTTTGTGATAATTTTAGACTAGACTCAATAAAAAAAGAAACCAGTATTATAATGTGGTATTTCATTACAGAATGTCTACTAGAAGCGGTCGAATTAGAGCTAGCGTTATTGAAGTTAGTCCTCCTAGGACACGAAAAGGTGTATCGCCAACGCGTTCTCCCGCCAGAACGCGGAAAAGTTCGCCGCCTCCGTCCGGGAAAACACCGCCTCCTGCTCGGTCACGTTCATCTGGCCGCAAATCTCCAGCACGGAAATCACCTAGCAGAAAGCCAGTATCAAAGTTTCCTGCGCGTAAGTCACCTTCAAGAACCACTAAAGAGACAGCAGAACCTGAGGTAGTATCCAGTGTTCCTAAGTCTCCGGCAAAAAGACCTCCTATAGACATAGGTGTCTCGATCAAACTAGAAGATTTATCCTCTAAACTTGATTCTTACCGTCGCTCTACCCGGTCGAAGCGATTAGAATATTCTGTGAAAGATCTGACATCCAGTATTACAGAGAATGAGTATTCTCTAGATAAGGCGAATGGTTTGGATTCGAGTGAGTTGTACAGCCTGAGAAACAGGCGGCCAGTCGAGGAGGTCGCGCCACGCAGGTCTAGTAGGCTGCGAGAATTCATTGACAATGTTCCTGATATCAGACGGAGTCTTAGCAAATCTTTAAGTCAGAGTAAGTCCATAAGCAAATCTGTCAGTAAATCATTAGAAACATTCTCAGATGAGGAGAATTCAGAGGAAGAATATCTCAAGCAAAGAGAGAAGTCAAAGTCTGTGACAAGGAGGTTGGCGACTCCACTCCGCAACAGCATTAACAATTTGACCCATACAGCAAGCAAGTGGGAATTTGGTGGAAGAAGTGGGTCACTCTGTTTGATTTTACTGATACCTGCAACAGTATTTTCTATTTTAATATCTTGTAGAAAATCTTGCTCACCAATATCTTTATTAGATCTGTCTGCATACAAATCCGTACAAGTTTTCTTTAGTTTACACTCATTGTACTTTTTTGCTGTGCAATGTATTATCCAAGCCGTTTTTGCTGTTGTACCAATACTTGGTATAAGGTCAGACCGCATGGATGGCTCTGGTACAAGACACTGTTTTAATGCATTTTTCTCTAGCTTGGTGACAGCTAGTAGCCTCTTCGTTTTGGATTACTTGAAAATGATTAACAAAGGGACATTGCTGGATGAATACCTCAGACTTGCTGTTCTGTCTTATATTTTTGCTGTCATACTGAGCATAGTTCTTTATGTGAAAAGTGGTAAACTTGCAAAGGACAAATTGAATCAGTATGGAAACACTGGATATACATTGTATGACTTTTTCATGGGAAGGGAAGTTCACCCATTCATCAAGAAGCTAGATATTAAGATTTGGCTTTCGAGAATATCAAACACTACTTCTGTGAGTATATTTTATTTGTTTTAGTTTTTCAAGTATAATTAGGTTTTAATGACTATTAATCAAGAGACAAGTTGCTTTACAACAGTATTAGCTTTATCAAAATCAGTGGCAAATGATGCAAGTAGCAGGAAAAATATGATAAAAATTATATTACCTCATTGGACTACAAACTATAATGTTTTATTTTCTCTCTATTTATATAATGTGAATTATTTTTATTCAATAAACTATAATAAAATACATATGTCAAAGGTATTAACAATAATTAATTTGTTTCAGCTTATTTTACTATCACTAATATTTACACAAGGACTTTTATTAAGAATGCCTAACAAAGATGAAGTCTCATTAGAAAACTGGAAACAGTTTGTGAGTAGTGTGGAATTTAAGCCAACAATACTGGTGTTCACTATTATGCAGAAAGTATACATTCTCAACTTTATTATGAAGGAGTACAGGATCACAACAAC